AGCATGAAAAACATTAGATTAAACTTAGAAATTTGTACACATAGATCTCCTCGTATCATGTGTTCTGTCGACCCAATCACGCTTAACGATGGGTTTAACATTTTTTATGAGTAGTAATGCATCGCTCACGATATATATATATATATATATATATATATGTGTGTGTGTGTGTGTGTGTGTGCGCGCGCGTGTGTGTGTGTGTGTGTGTATGTATATGAAGAAATATAGTCTTAAGATGTGCTATATTTATGGGATAAAGTGCTCAATATCTTAGATAGGGCGTATGTAAATATAAATATAAAAGTGAACATTGAAGTCAACACTCAGAGGCGACAGGCTGTTTCATGCTGGACGCAATATATATATATAAGTAATGAAAATTTTGGTAATCAGTATGCATGACCCCAAGAAGGATGTAATCCGGAGAGCTCAATGTTAAATTAGAGCAGTTAATTTAATTTAATGAAAACAGACAACTTTAAGGGAAAACAATTTCCCTGATGAAATAAATTATAATCATGGACCCTTAAAGTTTTCTGTTTTCATTAAATTAAATTATATAAGTCCGACAATTATTCTAATATATTTTTTTGTTTCTACGTTAGTTTTATAGATACAAATATTTAAGTAAATGCCCGGTTATAATAAACAGTATTAACCGGTCTGAATGTCTTTGAATTTTTTATAGAAAATATGTCCTCCGACAGGAATCGAACCTGTATCCTACACGGCACCATATAGCTTGACGTGCTATACCATTTAGCTACAGAGGAAGCGTCTGTTTAGCAAGTTTAAATTACTGTTTTTGAACTACAAACTTCCCAAGATTTCTCTCGAACACTCATATCTCCTCGAAGCGTATCTTAACGTAAACAAATGACATATTATGAAAATGGACAATATTATTACTTTAATATATGTTTTGTATATACGTTATTTTTATAGATACTATTATTTAAGTAAAGTCTCTGTTTATAATAAAAAGTATTAACAACATTTACCGGCCTGAATATCCGAGAAATTTCATAGAAACTATATGTCCTTCGACAGGAATCGAACCTGTATCCTACACGGAACCGCCATTTTCTTTGAGATTTCTCGTACACTCAGACGGTAAATGTTGTTAATACTGTTTATTATAAACAGAGCATTTACTTAAATATTTAAAATAAAATAAATATAACGTATAAATAAAAGATATATTAATATATATAATTTTAAAGTACGCTATATTTATGGGTAAATGTGCTCTGTATTAGTGACTAGCAGTAGAGCCCGGCGTTGCCCGGGAATGTAACAGTCAGAGATAGATCAAGTATCGACCATCATAAAGACTGAAAAATAAAATTGACAAAGATTATTGTTTAAGGTTGACGGACACACATGTCTTAATTAGTTTTTTTTTGTTTGTTTTTTTTTTGTTTTTTGGGTTTTTTTTACGAATTTGTCAAACCCAAACTCAAGCAAAAACATTATTTTCAATCGTTATGAGTCTATCGATTGAATAGAATTTTATTATAAACAATTGTCTTGTAAATAGAATTTTTAAAGCATTCTGAATGTAAAAATAAAGAAAAAAGTGTGCAAGACAATAATAAACACTACCTGCCAAAACAAAAAGTGAAATATTAGGGGAAAAAAATTTAAATAGATAAAAAATATTTAAAACCTAAATTAAAAATAAGATTAAATTTCAAGATTACATAGATTAGTTATCGATTAAAATATAAAGGATTAGATAGAATGATATAAGTTCAAAGAATAATTAGATATTAAATTATAACAAATTAAACAGATAACTTTAATACAGATTAAACCATATATTAAAATAGATAAAAGTAGGTACCTCCACGAGATCGCTAAAAAAGAGCATAGCATGATGAAAAAGACGCCAAAGTTGACGAAAACAAAATTTTATGTTATTATTATTGCTTTGATAAATAAGATTTATAAAAAAATTATTTGACGGGGTTGGGGTTTGACATAGACTTCAATAACAAGTAACTAAGGATAACCTTAATAGAAATTGTCGGTCATGAAAAAGAAATTAAAGCAAAATAAAATCACCAATAAACTTGAAGGCACATAACATATCAGATTAAAAAATATAGAGAAAACTTTAAAAATAAAATAAAAAATAAATAATTTTTATAGGATGTTAAAGATAGGATATTAAATATAGGATATTAAATATAGGATATTAAATATAGGATATAGGACATTAAATATCGGATAGAGAACATTAATTCTAGGATATTAAATATCTTATAGGATATGGAATAAAATAAAACATTTGTAGGATAAGAAATACAGAGAAATAACTCATTAAAAAGTGTATGAGATGTAGAAAAACCGTTTAAAACAATTTTAATTAAATAAAAAATAAAACAAATGAAAGTGGATAGTGGAAAATATAGATAAATGGCTTTAAAAATAAACCTTATCAAGTGGAGGTTGGAAATTAATATAAAATTTATATTACTAATAAATCAAACAAGTA